TCGGGCAACAGTTAAATATTACAAAACAAAATAAGCTGTAGTAAATAGGTACCGTGATGCGTCTTTTGTCGAGGACATACATGACGCATCCGCATTCGCGGAGCACCCGTTGTTTGTCCATCTTGAACACTTTTGCTATGGTCGCGGCGCCGCTGATATGCAAGTGCAGAAATGCTGTGCTAGTACCAGTTGCATTGCAATTTTGACGAGGAGAGAGGGAAAGTATCATACTGCTTTCCCTGAGGACAAGCATTTGTCATGCGTAGGTAATCGCAAGCTGACTCGAGTACAACCATTTCTCGTAGAATAATCATCCACCATAGAGGCAAAGTCAGAGGAATTTGCACCTCCTTTACCTTTTCCTTTTCCTTTTTTGTTTTTACCCTTACCTTTGGTCTTCCCTTTTTCATTGTCCTTGGTGACGGTCCACGATTTCTTTTGCTTACCTTTCCCTTTGTTCTTGCCTTTCGTGGTGATCGTGGCCTTCTGTGCGAACGGAATCAACGATCTCCTGCTGTTCAGCCACACCACGATGTCGTCGATCGAAGGCGTCACCAGGGCTTTTTTGAGCCCAGAGAGGTAGATGGACATGTGCTTTATCAATTCCCGCTTCTGCATTTTCTCTACTGCAGTAACTATTCCGAACGTGTTCTTCAACCTGTCTTCGAGCTCCACAAGGCGATCAAGGAGGCTGTCCTGTGGGAAAACGTCGGAGGCCGCGACGAGGGCGGAAATCAACTTCGTAGACGAGAGGTTATCGGAAATAGTGGTGGCTTCTTTCAGTTCCAGTTCATGTTCTTTGCCCTCATTGAGGGCAAGGGTGTCGAAAACCTTTTCGCAGCTTTTTTGCACTTTTGCCCAGGTCTCAGTTTTAAGACCTAGGAAGGTGCAGCTCACTTTGGTTTCTGCTCCTACGTTATGCTGGGTGAAGATGTACTGACCCAGCATTATAAATGTGCAATCACAATTCAAATTAGCATCACAAGCATGCAGACAAGAATCCTGAGGCAGTACACTTTTGCAATGCATATTGCCACGCGACTGCTGTCAACATCGTCTTTCCCAGGGTGAGCATGGCGGTCACCAAGGACGTGTCGGAAAAGGGTGGCTTTGCCATTACCTTAACAGCACCTGTTACCTCGGCTTCGGATGAATAACTCTTCGGATTAAATCCGTTCAGCGATAACACCACCGCGGCCTGCGCCATGGTCTTCTTGACGGCTAGGACTCGCTGAGAGGCTACATATGCTAGCGTGGCTTTGTTGGTGCAGAGCATGGACTTCGTGGATGCTGCTAGTTCTTCGTCGGAGTAGTACATCTCGTAGGCCTCTAGTCCTATTTTCGTCATCACAATCCGCATCAGAATGCGGAACAGGAGACAGCTCAAGACTACTGTCTGCGCGTCTGTCGCGGTGCCGGTGCATCTCCAGTACATCTCGAACGAGGCGGCGGCGATGAAGGCTTCCTGATCTTCAACTGGTATGCAGGCGGAGGAGAGGCTCTTTTCTTTTGCTAATTCTGTGTTTAGCATGACATATTCTGGCTACCTATAGAGGTGATGCCCGAAGTGGGCACGACAAATTGCTGAGGTGATGAGAACTAGTGCTACACCACACTGCAGACGAGCCTGCAGGCTGATGGCGACATGAAATTTAGGCTCTGAGTTCGCAGCGATTCTCTTGTGCGCGCGCTACAGCGCAGCTTGTGCAACGGACGAGGGGGGACCAAAAACCAGCTTTGGTCAGAGTTTGGTTCCCATCTATCAGTTACCATGCTACCAACTGGCACTAATTAGGCGTGCCGGCACTATTTAGGCGTGCCTTACACCGAGCGCTAGTCTGTCACAGGACGGATCAAATCCTTTCGGTTGCTCTCATCACGCAGCTGTTCTGGTGACGTGAGGAAGTGGAGACCACCCTAGCCAGAATACGGCATGCTAAATACTTGATTCGGGCAAGTATTTGTATTTCTTCACAAATGGAAAATACAAAATAGCCTGCGTCAGATCAAGTTCCTGGGAATTCTGCTGTCTGTCACCATGCTACCGACTGGCACTATTTAGGCGTGCCGGCACAATTTAGGCGTGCCCTACACCGAGCGCTAGTCTGCACTTGGCTACATCATAAGATGGTCATCACCAGGCTTGTTGTAATACTAGACAACAAGAATACACCCTAGCCAGAATATCCTATGCTAAACACTATAATTCGGGAGAAAAGAGCAGTGGGAGGAAATTTGTAATGCATAGAAGATGTATAGTCCCAGTTTGCTGGGGATTCTGCATCTTCAATAAGTGGATACCCCCACTCGTCGATCGCAACTCGTCCTGCGCGACGAGTGCACCGACCATACGCATTCGCGGTGGATGGTTCTACTGGTGGTGGCAGCAGGTGAAAGTTGTCGGCGTGGTGGGGAGCAAAGGGATCTTGAAACGCGTATGGCTGGCACATGGCTGCTGACGGGTGCATGTTGCACGCACCCTGGGATGGAATTCCATAGTGCCAGACACTGGGGTGCAGTTTCGGTGCTGCTGGCGCCGACGGGGAGGAGTACGGGCGCGACCGTGCTCCTTTCTTGCCCGACATGGATCCCATCGGTGCCTTCCCGCCTTTGCCTTTGCGCTGTGCCGCCGGGAAGAGATCCTCTTCCGTGGCATTCTGCCAGTCCCATGTTGGCGCGGGAGGCTCCGCTTCTGGCTCGTACTCCTCATCGTCATCTACTCCTGCTGTAGCGGGGGTGATCTCATTCTGGAACAGGCCTGTACCGGTCGGAGTGTGATGGAAGTTCCCTTTGCTCTTGCCTGCGGATTTACCTTTCATTCCTTTCCCTTTCCCAAATGCCGAATTGCACTTCGACTTGAACAATTCCAAGGGGTCCATTTTCGGCTGGGCGGACGAGGAAGACGATGCCGAGGACGACGCGAATGCCGCAGGTGCGGCTGCAGGGGCGGAGCTCGCGGGCCTGCTCCGTTTCACCCCTTTGCGACTGTTTTGCATCGCATCTGCCAGCAACATCTCTTGCTCCTGGATGGAGTCATGAAAGAGAAACTCCTCTTCCGATTCTTCGAGGTGCATATCAGCATCGATTGCACCAGCGGCTAACTGCTCTTGAATTCTCGTCGCTTCTGCTGCGTCGTCCGGCGTGTCATCCGCTATCTGTTCGTCAAGCATCGGGGCTTGTACAGCAGATCTTGTTCGCACCTCAGGCAAAAGAGGCTGCTGCACTGACATCCTGGACGCTGTGGTCGGCGCGAAGGTGTCATTGCTGTGGCAGTTTCCGATGTCATCGATGATGTGCTTGGTGATGGTGAGACACAGGGCCTGCGACCGGGCGAACCGGCCCATGTACATGTGCTCGGTGCGCGAGCGCGGGTTGGACTCAAAGTACGCATTCTCCTGGCAGATGCTCTTGAACACTTTATTGTTCGGCCGCGTGGTGCGGTCGTCGAGTGCGGTCGTGGGCAGGAGGGTGACAGGGTCCAAATATGTGCTCACTGCAGCGGAATTCTGGTACGTCAGATTTTTGTGGTACATGTGCCGGCCGCGCGGGAGAATGTCTTGGTAGTGCAAGAGCGGGTTGAGACCCTCCATGAAGTGATTGTTCATGCACATCACCAACATATCCTCAATATGATCATTCCAGACACGGGCTGGATCTGTGCTGCCACCGACGTGCGGGAATCTCTTCTCTACCGCGTTGGCTGTCGTGATGCGCACACCATCTTTCTTCCAAAACTGCGAGGTGTACATGATCATGTGCATCGCTACGTTGGTCGCGGTCGGATGCACGACCGGGAACTTGTCCATCACCACATTAAAGGGCACCATTCCGAGGTCGGACATGTGCGGGTACAGCAACTTGACCCACGTAATACTCGATAGCTCGAATATTTCCGATACCACGGAAACAGGAAGGATGCTGTACAATTTTAGCGTCTCGAACGACAGTTGGTGCGCATACAGGATGGTGTGTAGTTTCTCGCCCAGGAGCTCGGCTAGCGCAGCAACGTTGTGCCAGTCGCTGGCTACGAGCACTGGCCACGCGCGGCGGAGAAAAGCTCCTGAAAGGACGTACTGTTTCACCACATCTCCAATCGGCAGGAGCTGACCGTTGACGTCGAGGTCTTTTCTCCACAGGCGGTCGACATCGGAGATCGAGAATTTCTCGGTGTCTTGGCAGCCCGTGGTCGCCACTTTTGTGACTGTGACTCCTAGCCGGAAGTCTCGCTGCGTCTCCAGCTTTATCTTCTGGCTCTTCGCTTTCTCTTTCCCGTACTTCGCTGTGAAGGTGTTCACGTCGAATAGCCGGCCGGTCAAGACGTAGATCGCGAACGTCACCGGATCCTTCGCAGCAAATTGGCAGAGGATCTCCTCTCGCCACAATTTCTTTGCGGACACGGGCTTTTGCGGACACGGCGCGATGTTCAAGTCGTACACCATGAGGCGCAAGAATTGCGTACTTCTTTCAAGCACTATTTTCTGGTCCAGGTCGTGTGCAATTGCGTTAGCGATTCTCCACAAATATGCTGCTGTCTGCCTGAAGGAGAAGTCACAGTTGTCCAGCTCTGCGGCCCACAGCGGTGCTAGTGACCCGCGGGGGTCGCTCAATCTTGCGCACACACCTGCACCTCCTATCCGCGTGGGGCCCGACTCGAAAGCTACTTTTACCTGCCTACCGGAACTGATGTATCCGGGCGGAGGCAACAGGTCCAGGTATGCCTGGTCAGACAGCACTGATCCTGTCTTACCAGCAATTTCCTGGAACTCGGCGAGCAGCGTTTGAGCGTGGGTGTCACAGAGGAACATCTGGATCTCCCCGTCAGAAGCACCGATGCTGCGTAGCCCTGCAACGTCTACCGACTTGACGTGTGAGGCGATGCAACTAGTTGACGGCTTCGGGTCCAGGGGGGAGGGTTCCTTCGTCTGCTGCTGTGACTGCACATCTTGGTCGCTTCCTGCAAAGGAAACTCTCCTTTGCTTCTTCTCCACTGGCTCACCCGAGGCTAAACTTGCCTTTTTGACCTGTCCCAGGTCAAAGAGTTTTACCCCTTTACTATTGGTGCTGCTCAACACCATATCACTTACCTTGGGGGTGGTGGGGTTGACGACGCTAGGTTCTGCTTCATCGTCATCGCAGACGCCCGGGGGGAGCGGAGCGAGCGCTCCCTCCTCTTCAAACTGCTGCACCAGCGTGTTCATCTCGCCAAATTCTGCAGTGTCGATGACTAGCCTGTCATCGATCGATGGCACCGTTTGTGGCTGTGGCGCCGCCACGGTGGTCGGCACCGGCTTCAGGGAGAAGCCGAGGGTCGAGTCTTGCGTAAGCATCACTTGTAGCGGTGCAAGTGAGCCGTTTGCTGGCAAGGGGGCGGGAGGTGGTGCTTTTGCCGCCTGTTGCAGTTCATCGCCTGCTGTACGTGACGGCTTTGCTGCTGACGCCGGGATGGTTGCAGCTGTGCTACTCCCAGCTGCTCGGGCGGGTGTCGCTACACTGCTTGCTGCGGGTTGCTCGTCGTGCGTCACGGACTGCGACATGCCCTTCATCTCCTGTGTCGTAGAGGACTGCGACACGCTCTTCACCTCTGTCGTGGACGAGGACTGCGACACGGTCTTCACCTGCGATGCTGTCGTGGACTGTGTCAGGGGCTTGTCCTCTGGCGATGTCGCGGGCTGCGTCACGTTCTTGTCGATAGCGTGGTCTGTGTCACGTCCTTCATCCTTCTCTCTCGATGCTGACCTCGATCTAGCTTTCGCAACAGCGGCTTTGGCTTTCGGCGTGGGGCTCGGCTTATGCTGGGCTTCGTCCTGATAATAATTCAAGGACTCATGATCAAATATGGAATTTGTTATGCTAATTTGGTTTTGTCATGGTGATAAGACATCAACTTCTGTATACTGTCGGAAGCAAAAATCAAAACAATAAACCAAAGTAATCATTAGAGAAAGGGCATACCTTTACGGCAGATTTCCGCTTCTCAGCGGTACTGCTTTTACGTCCTGTCATCTTCACTGGGGAGAAATCCAGCTATTCGGAGGACCAAAACTTCATTTTCAAGGTTTCTGTCTATGATCACGAAAAAGTTTCAGCCCTACAGTGTTTTTTGGAAAGAAGAAATGGAAGACGCATCTGTTTGTATCTCTCTATTTCTTCCATCTCCCCTCGTGCAGCTGATTCTCGATTTCTACACTCTATCTCTCTTGTGGTTTTTCTCTGCTTCACTCTGTAATCACTCGGCAGTTGCGGGTAGACCTGTAATGCTGCAGATAGGTATTTATATTCTACTTTGTGATGTAGATGGTACGGCTCTCTGGTGCTAGTCTGTGATGCCAGTCTCTGTCACATTTTCGTGATGTTGTTTTTCATCCTGTACTGGCTTGCAATGCTAATTTGCGTCATAGGAACGAACAAACACAATGATGGCTAACAGCATGGCTTTGGCTGCTATGCTGTTTACAGGTAATACTGCACAAGTGCAGGGCTGGGAGTGCTCGATTGTTTGATTCCTGCTGATGAAAAGAAGCACTTTTCAGCTGAGGAATGATTCATTCATCTTGAGGACAAAAAAAAGGTCTTCGAGAGCAGGTGGAGATACACCACTCACTCTAGTCATCGTTGTTAATGACTTGCAAGTCATTTTGCACTACCACAGCTTCACCGTGATTATTTTGTTGGAGCATGAAACGGATCCTGCGGGTGTTGCTCATTATTCCTCGGCAGCAACCTGTTTTGTCAAGTTTGGATACATTTCGATTAGCATTTTCGTACCATCGCATCAATTTGTCATGCTCCATGCCATGCATTTGTAAATGGTCATCGTCATCATATCAAATATAAAGTAGTAACTACGCGCAATTTCTGCCATCTGCCACAGTAGATATTGGAGGCATCCGACAATGCATCCTTCGTAGGTGAGAATCCTGCCCTCGTTTCCCAACATCCAAGAAAATGCGGCCATGGCGAGCAAGATCCGGACCTGGGAATATTTGATTGTTGGATTAGTTCACATATGCAATTTGTCATGACAGACTTGTGCATTCATGGAAGGTGCTAAGAGGGCATCACATATCAAGTAAATACTTCAGATGTCCCGTAAAAGAACATGAGCATTCTGAAGTGACCGCCACGAGTAGTGCACGACGACCACGTTGCGGCTACCACCGGCATGATGTAGCTTGCAGGAGTGACGAACAATGTCGCCACTGCTGTGACTAGCACTGTCAGCATCTTGTGGAGGTGACGGGTGGCGGTGCTAGTTTTCTGAATGATGACGATAGCTTGGCTCTATATTTTTATCAAATGCATTTGTAAATGTGAAGTTGTGTACATCTTAAAAACTGGTACGTAGATACTCCTCCGTGTCCCTCGATAAGTGATGATGAATAGAAGAGAAAATAGATACGTAGTACAACTCGCTCTAGTGCAAGGCAGCTAGTTCAATTCGCTCTAGTGACGACATAGATGTTTCTCGAATGTAATCAGGAATCTTCTTAACGTTTTCTTATTTCTTCTTACTAGAGCTAGAGGCTTCCTTCTTTTTTAACGAGTGCTCATCGGTCGACCAGCGACCGAGAAAATCGGACATCTGGTCGAGCACCGCATCAGTCATCTTCTCTAAGGATTCACGATCTGGCAGGGGGCCAGCAACTTCATCACTCGGGAGCATCTGTGCGATTAGGTGCTCGTTTGTGAATGGGGTCTTCTTATGCGGGAGATCACAAATTAAGAGGTCCTTAAATTCGTGTCTCTTACATTGACCGCGCAGCCACATCGCTTTTTTCACACATTCCGCGCCAAGGAACGCATGCGCATTAGCTAATTGGCACTCTTTCTCCAATTCCTCATACTTTTCTTCTAGTTCTTTTTTCTCCTCTTTCAAGGCATTCTTCTCAATAATGGCTTTGTTTTTGCCTTTGATCGCATCACGCAGGCGTAAGCGAACAGAGGCGAGCTCCTGCTGGTTCTCCATGGATACAGAGTCATTTTTCCAGCGCTTTTCCCATCCCGCGATTTCTTCATTCTTTTCAGAGCGCTCACGAAGGAGAGCTTGATTATCAGCTTCCTTCTCTGCGCACTTCGCGCATGTGCGGATCGGGGCTGGGGGCATTTTTCCAGGGCGATACTTACAGCGCAGGTGGAGTCTAACGACACGAGGAGGTGATAGCTTTTTAACTACAGCTGCATGCGAAAGGCATTTTTGGAAACTGGGCACTGTATGTTGTGAGGCGAGTGTCGGGGATATAGTTCCAGATTGTGCACCAAATACGCTAATCATTTTTCTCATGCAGATCTGTTTTTTCGCACACATGCGGATCTCCATCATTTACAGCCTCTACTTCGTATCGCTTATGTGGAGCATGGAATGAAACAACAACTGACAGGGGGCACTACTAACTGTGGGCTCCGAAGAGAGCACAGGTAGCAGCACTACCTGCCTGCAACAACTGAGAGGAAAGGTACCTTTGTCAAGCATGGCCTGCAAGGTCTTCACTGAGTTTCATCAGCACGCAACAAACTGCGTGGGAGTTTCCAACCGTACGAGGGCCGCTTTAGCGTTTGTCATCCTTGGTTCTACCTGGCGTAGTTTTCAATCATCTTGCAGATGGAGTAGCCAGACTCGAGGCAGCTAATGCATGCTGTCTCTACACATACAAGTCTCTTCTAGTGGCAGGAACATGAGATCATATCTCACCAACAACAAAATATCCAAAACAGAAAGGAACTTTCAACAGGAACTTTACTGCACTAGAAGAGGAATAACCAAGCCCTTACTGTAACCACACCGGATCTGTGTGTTTGTCCTTCTTCACTGTCCACAATTCTGGAGTTTTGCATAATTATGCTGAGTCTTTTCTGAGGTATGAGGAACTGCGGGTTCAAAAATTTTGGTTCATAGGCATTTTCCAAAAATCGATTGCATTGATACGCTTTTTGCATTTGCTTTCTTATACACACGCAAATACACCCTTCCTTTTACGACTCGCTACGCTAGTGCGGCCCTACAAACGCATGTTGGTATGACTCGATCTCGATTTCATCTTGTTTTCGAAATTGATTTACATGCGTTTGAAAAAAATTGCTCGCGAACCACGGATCCATTTTGGCTTCTCAACAATACTTGTCTCGTCAATTTTTTTCAATGAATCACGTCTGAGAAATCGATTTCGAAAGTACACGTGGAGGTCAATAAAGCGCTTTTCTTTCTATGCGTATCAGCATCAGCACGAAGTTCATCATCTCGAAAATCTTTTGCAGAAATTGAAATACTTTGCTGCGTCCTCGTCGTCGTGTTTGGACTAATTGATACCAGACTGAAGCTACATCCTTTTTGTTAAGTTGTTTTCTTCAGTCGCTGGCAAAGTTTTTCGTTTCTTTAACTTTTCGCTTTGGTTCTGCTTCGTACGTCCTCGACGTAATTTAGTAATAATAGAGTTGAAAAGTCGTGCTGTCGAAGACTTACAAATTGCAAAAGCTCAATACTAATCACTTGACCAATTTTTGGAATCAAAAAATGCTCGCAAAATTCGCAATATTCGACGACAATTTCCTTCACTACAGATCCTGATGCTCACAGCAATAGAAATAGTTCGTTTATATCTAAATGCTTAATGCGGGGGAAACGACGAGAAGCCGGTCAACAAGGTCACGCCCGTTCTGCAACTTCTGTGTTGATGGCACAGCAATTAGTAGTGCCACAACGGAAACAGGAAAATCAACAGCACTGGTGGAGCGCATCGACTGGCTGCTGCATCCGCAGTTGTATTTTTCCGCAATACGTGTCCGCCCGGGCACCGTCGTGCTCTGTTGCTTCACGTCGCGGGCGAGATACATAGACCTCCTGCCAAGCTCGTTGCGGAAGGTGAATCACAGTTTTTGTGTCACTGCGGTCTACTGCCGACGTCAGCTCTGCCGTCGAACTGCAGCCCATGATTTGCGTTGTTTACGACATTGGTCAACAACAACATTTGCGTTTCATTAGAAGGAGTAGTACCGGCAAAAGGAACGTGTTGATCCTCCACCACGCGGCCTCCAGCAGTACTCCGTCCGAGCAACGGGAAAGAGTCCGGCCGTGGCACTGTTCCGTACGCTGGCGGGGTGAACCGCCGCGTGTTACTACCTGTTTCAGATGACTGAAGCTGTCCTACCCCAGGAACTCCTCCTCCTCCTGCTGCCCCAGAAGCTCCCCCTATAACGGCGTGGCTTGCCCTATCCTGAGTAAAAACGTACCCACACCAGAGTTGCCATGCAGATTTGCCATGACAGGAACATTTGTGATGCGCAACCCCATGACAGGCATTTTCAATCGTGTTTGGGAACTTGTAATGCTGTAAACAGGATCAGAAGGTCGATTTGTGATGCGGCTTTCCTTGCTCACTTGCACTACCTTACGGACTGAAACTTGTCATGCGTGACTCACAAAACTCCTAGGTTTGTGTTGCAAAACCTCCATCCTGACTCTGGTGTGGGCACGTTTTTACTCAGGATATGCCCTTCGGTGCAGATCCGCCGGAAAAGAGCTCGCACGTATGGAAGCGTCAGGTTTGAAATCGTCAAAGTTGAAATACTTTGTAATGCATAAAATGCATGACCCGAGGTACGTGTGTTGCAGAGCAGGCAAATGAGGCCGATTGTCAGCCTGTTTGGGGTTACAGCTCGAGCTGCCAAAGTAGCATGAGAAAATCGCTCTTCTCTGCCTAAACAGCATGACAAACTGGATTTAGGGACCACCGAAATTTGTCATGCGCCACTTGGAAACTGGGTTCCAACTGGCATCCATTCTATGCATGACAAATTATTTCAACTTTGTCGATTTCAACTCTGACACATCCATAGCACGGCGCATGCCGTTATGACGACCACCTCCAGCTTCACCCATTCTCGCCGGGAGATGGGACGTCGGCTCGGAAGGTGTCGACCCTGTTTCCGCCTCGAGAAAATGATTGTTGTTGTTTTCACTCGACGAGTTTATTATTTGCTGGCGCCCGTCGCGGTCGTTCCCAGCAGTACCTCCACCACCTTCAGCCGATGTTGCACCTTGGCCGGCTTCTTGTTCATCATGTTCATCTTCGTCCTCGCTCGCAGTTGCTTCTTGTTGATTTGTCTGATCATCCAAAATATCCGAGCGCTGCAGTTGGTCCGAAATGCTGTGGAACAAAACTTCCGATTCCACTTCCGGGGGTAAGTTTAAGTCGACAATGAGCTCCTCTACGTCGTCAGATAAATCTTCTGCGCCCCCTTGGAGGTTTCCCAGTACGTCGCGCCGAACGCTCGCGGAAATATTTCCGGCTTCGTTTTGTTGGTCATGATCTTCTACAACTTCTTCCCGAGGACCTAATCTCCCTGAGGATAAGAGTGTTTTGGACCGCTGTCGCACGCGTCGATTCTGGATCTGCGCGAAATTCGCCAGCTTTATCACAGGAAAAAGCGCTAACGTTGCAGGAACGCATAGAGAACAAGGTCAAGGTGCCTAAACTTGTATTGCATAGCATGCATTCTAGAAAAAATCTGTCATGTATAGCTGCAATCTCTAAAGACCGTTAACGTTAACACTTTTTTGTTTGATAAGCTTCTCGTACAGCTCAGAGTCGTTGGAGATCAGGTCTGGAAATCGTTCCTGCAAGATCGCCTGCATCTCGCCCAGTGCCGTGAGCAGCATCTTCACATCCTCCTGCATGTGCTCGACATCCAGATTGTTTCGCCGCCCCAGGTCCCGGCACGCGCGAAGCGACTTCACAAACTCGCTCTGCGGGGCTGATTTGAATATTTCGTTCGCGTGGTCGCTGTGTGGATTCGTTGTAGTTGCAAAAATAATGTAGTACTTTCTATTGAACAGCAAAAAGAAAAACAGAACTTGAGTACTGTTCGGCTCCGGATCGTCTAAAATGGGTGAATATTCCGTCTTTTTCAAGGCCTCCGCGATGTCGCGCACGTACGTCCCGAGCTGGTAGTCCAGGTAGAAAAAATGAAACGCGAACCCGGACAACGCAGCAAGTGGGACCGACAGTGACTGCAACGCGATCAGCTTGCAGAAAAATTTCATCACGGACGAACTTCGGCCCGCGGACTTCTGGGGATGGTGCTTATTGTGGTGCTGGTGGGATGTATGTTTCTGGTGCAGCTCGTTGTTGTTCTTTTTGATCGTCGCTGTTGTACTGCTGGGTGGAGCCTTTGTTGTTTTTGTGGCAGTGGCAGCGGCCGTAGAGATGTTTATCGCACCCGATGAAGTAGTTGCGCTCTTCTTTTCAACATGGTGTCCGCTCGTATAACCCAGGCTAAAAGCGCGCGCTTTGGGGGGCTGTGCGTTATTTGTTCCGTTTGCCTTTGCGTGGTTAACTCCAGCACCCGAATTCAATAAATTTCGGACGGAAGGTGGCAGGTTTATTCTACCTCGGATGCTAGGGCGCCGGGGAGGCAGACCCTCGGGACCACGACGCGACAGGCCTCCATCCTCATCCGTGGCGGCCATCGGTGATGACATGAAGGGAGTGATGCCAGATGTTGACGAGGCACCGCTGCTGATCCCCCTTTTATTTGAACCAACACCTGGTTGCCGTTGCGGAAATGCAGCGGACCTGCTCGTGGAAGACATCACTCCAGAATCCGCCTTCATTTTCGAATAATGTTGATTTTCGACGTGACACGACAGCACGACCTAGCCACGATATAACAGGTCTTTTAACAAAAAAACAATGCCTTCAAATCGATCGGGACAGAAAGAACACAAAGTGCATTTCCGCGTTAGGTTCAGCTATTTCAGCATTCAATACTAGTAAATGAAGATAGCCAAAGCTTTTTCAGGAGTCGGACAAGTAGCGAGTCGTCCTAGTTTCTTCATGGGAATCACACAGGACGCTTAAAAGAGGACGTGCGCAAAGAATAGAATCCGTCTATTTGTTCAGCACGACATTCGAGACAACACAATCCTATAAAAATAGATGTAGATCGGATCTATTACAGTATGCATTTTTGGTAAAAGACGTACCTCCAAAAAAAAGAGAGTCGCTTGGAACCTAGGTGATCTCTTGATGACTCAAACTTTTTATCTTGTTCTGCTACAACAGTTGATCGTTCTGGTCCATATTTACCAACACGAACGCTGGCGCAGCGAAACGCAACAATCTGAAAGAACTGAACAACGAAGAGCAGAACATGATACCACCTCAGAGAACATCGACTACGAACTCACAGGCACCAAACATGAGATACCAGCCGCCGGCCCGCATTCGTGGACGAGAGAAAGCACAGAGCGCGCGGTCGTCAACTGGTGAATGGAATTTACCGTGCATCAAATCGATGGCACAGGCAGAACTGATACTTGAAAAGATTTTTACTGACACTTCGACATCAGAATTTCATACATTCCGATGAAATTAGAAACAAAGTCAAATAGGAAGGAAGGTTTTTATTGTCATTTTTCATTGCATCGAGCTGCAAAAACTCACTGTCACTTTTTGAAAACAACAACCAGCGTAAACAAAGCACAAGAAATGGTCTTACATGCAACTTGGGCACGAAGGGTCATACCTTGAAGCTTCCGGAGGCGGTGGACAAAAAAAAGCTACAACGACAAAAAAAGTACATGAAAAGGCATGACGGGTGTAGTTTTCCAAACGAAGGATTCGATATGCCCACAACCCCATACAGATTTTCTTATATTTGTACACGTTTTATTTTCAATTTGGCTAGTGAACCCCTGCTCGGATTCGGCCCGTCGCTTTGTATTTTTCACAAGTGTAAACGTAGACTTTTGATGAATTACTTAACCACTCGCAGAAGTAGGAGCATGTCTCATCTTAGAAACAAAGTCAGCACAGCGCGTGCTCCACATTTACATGTATGTTGTGAATATGAAACGCTAATTCATTTTTTGAATCAGTTTTTCAATTTCATTGGTTTATACTTTTCGAGTAAATTTGACGTTGAATGAAGCTTCTTTTCGGAGTATCTACAACTCTTTCTCTTTGAAGATGATATGAAAAACTCTAAACGAGACCAAACCGCGCGGCCCCAGAACGTCGACCAGAACGGAACTGAAACTGTTCATCATCTGTGTTCGTGACTCCCGACGGAGCTGTACATGGCTTCGTGCAGGTTTACTCTGAGATCTTCCTTGTTGGTGTAGTTCACCGGCAAGTAAAGCTGGCTGCTGCAAGCGCGGCTGTAGGGGAGCTTGGAATTTCCGCCGCTCGCCGCTTTCTTGTTGGCGGCGGCCGCCGCAGCTGCTCCTGGGCCGGCACCAATACTACTCGTCGCTGATAACCCGCAGATCTCGATGTGCACCTTGGCCATGCCGCCGGGAGGCAGTCGGGGACAGGAGGTGACGAAGTCCAGGAAGCGCTGGCGGTCCTTGAACTCCATTTCCACAAGCAGGTCGAGAAGGTTTTTGTAAACCGGGTGGTCCGCGGAGAGGGCACCTGTGGAAATTGTTGCAGAACGGATCTTTTTTCGTGAAATTCTATCTTTTGGCTTCGCCAAAGCAAAGCGGATGAAATAAAAGGCGACCGAGGTTCTTCTTGCACGTAAGACGACATGAAAGCGGCCACGGTCGCAAATCCACCATCGCAATGTTTGCAAACGTATTCGCCCAATTGGCGGGCGATTCGAACTGTTCCAAAACTTTTCATTTGACTTTTCAGGATTTGAGGGTATTGAAAACGATTTGGTAATGCGACTCAGAACGAAAAAACGCAACGAAGATACTCCAAACGACAGAACAGGGGCGCCTGCGAGGTTTTGGGCGCCGACGCCTCCTCTTGTGCCGCGGGTAATCGGCGAAGTCCGAGCGACCGCCTTTTCACCC